AACTATGATCGTTTATTTCAAACTAGAACAACTAGATAACTCTTAATTTCAAAAATGTTATCGACACATCTTTCAAAATGCATTGACTTACCCTTTTTCATCATTGTACTTAAATGTTCCAAGCTGTTGAATGACATTGTAATCACATTTAAATTCTTCAGCAAAGTCTCATGACCATGAGTTTAGCAAGAAATCAAGCAAAACTAGTGATTTGTAGGATTGTCTCCATTGCTTCCAATGAATGCTATACAACCTGCATTTTGTTTCAAATTGCTAATGTTAAAAATATGAAAATGCACACAAAAAAAATAGAAATTGTAGAACTCACCCTATCTGGAATGGTTTTTGTTATCATGTTTTCAAAAAATAAAAATTCATTTTCATTTTTGTGCCAAAAAGAAATAACTTTTTAGTATTTCCTAAAATGTGAGTTGATTCCAAAAAGTTTTCCTAAACAATTATCAAATCAATTCACCTGTTTGGTAATATTTATGTTTACGATTGTAACAACAAAAAAGTTAGTTACACTTGTTTAGAAAAAAAAAAAAAATGAAACAAATTCATTCTTTCATCGTCTCCCACCCACTCCAGCCATCACCAGCATCATTACTACCGACCACCTCCACCTCTGGTTGTCATCGCTGGTGACCTTCTCCGACAATCAACTCTGGTGACAATTAACTTTGACCATCACCTCTTATCAGAAACGACCTTTAACCACCACTTCTTATGAAAAACCACCATCGACAATTGCCTCCAACCACCTTCTCTAACAGTCAGTAATCATTTCGGTCACCATGTCTCGCTAACCACTTCTCTCATTTATTTTCAAACTAACTTTTAAAACACGTGTATACCAAACATGCTTTTAGTTCACGTTTTTGTTTTTACCAAAAATAAACATCAACATGCTAAATGTTTTTTGTAAGCAAAAAATAGTAAACTGTAAACATTACCAAATGGAATCTAAATGAAGTTATTTTGTTTCCTAGATTTTATTTTATTTTATTTTTTAAATGATACCAAAGATGCCTCATGTCAATAGACTATAATTTAAATTAAAATACATTACCTCCTATGAAGGACATCAACAATTCTCCAATAGTCATATACATCATTGGATATATCAGCTATTCTAGTCATTGTTCTAGCATCTGGACTGCATGGATCATTGTTTGTTGCATCCTCAGCCAACCTTTTAGACAAGAACATGATGATAAAATATATAAATAAATAAATAAAACTACAAAATATTCATCAAAATAAGCTTGGTTTGTTTTTTCTCACATTGAAGCCTTTGAATAGGAAAAAGATAGGTTTGTTCTAAAGGAGATAGTAGACTCCACAATGATTTTTGATTACCTACTCAAGTTGAAATTACTTTTCCAAATATTTGTTATATGCATAGACCCTATAATGCTTAAAATTCATATCTAAGTTTTATTTTTGTATCACGAACTAACAACTTAATTTGATTATAAACTTTTTTTTTATTTATTTCCAAGTCATAATGATTTATAATTCTGTTTCGGTAACTCCAGTAATGACCGACTTGGCAATCTTGTATTTCTCATTTAGAAAAGAAGATGTATGTTTCTTAATTTGGTCTAGGAACAAGGTTCCCATTATTGCTCACATAAATCTCCCACAAAAATATATAATAAATCTAAACTTTGTTTTCAATTATCATATTCAAGAAAAATGGTGAAATTGTATTCAAAACCTAAGATTCTCTCATGGAATAACATCAAAGACTAAGGTCTCCAACCACTGTTTGGTAAAACTTTCTTGTGGCTTAAAAAAATGGGATTTTAAACTCGCTTTTAAAAAAATTAAATTTTTTAGTTTATTTTGAGCATTTTGGAATGAAGAAGTAAATAAGTTGAAAACATGTAAAAGCTTTTTTACCAAACAACAAGCTTTCCCAAAGTAAAATAGCAAAAGCATGTGATTTCAAAACTTAAAAAATATTTTTTTGGAAGTACCAAAAGGGCTATGTCGTTTGGGAACCCTCCTTTTTAGTCAAAAAGTCAAAAAATTATTAAATTAGCCAAAAAGTCAACAATCCATATCAAAAAGTTAAAGATTCTTTTTTCTCTCTACTTTTTGCACATCTTTTCGTAAAAAGTCAAAAAGTCATCCCAAATATATTAGTTTTTTTTAGCTCATATTTTAGCCAAATAATAAAAAAATTACTAAATTAGCATGTTCCTAAACGACACAGATTAGAAACCTTTTTGAAGAAGTTCCAAATATAAGAAAACCAACATGTGGGAGGCCATGATTCTTGCTAGCAAATTGGAGGGAAGGACCTGAATTATTAGAGATTTGTGTGAAAGTCACAAATTTAATTTGACCAAATGTTATCCTAGAAAAAAAAAAATTATAACTGATTGAACGAAAACTTAGGACTTGATTTTTTATTTTACTTTTTTTACGGCCTCCATTATATTTGTTAAAAAAATTAGCTGAGAGCATCTCCAACCACTTTTTTTCATCTAATTTGATTTTAAATTTGAGTAAAAAAATTTGATTTAATATGAATTACTCCAACTATTTCATCAAATTTTCAACAAAATCTTTTTAAAAATTTCCCTCTTATCCCAAATTTCTCTTTTCATCAAATTTGATGAGGGGGAAAAAAAAAATCATCTATATAATGCTTTAATTTTTCAAATTTTCATCCGATTTTAATTTGATGAATTCTCAATTTGATGAAAAAAAAATGTCTTTCCCTTAATTTGATGAATAGATTGGAGATGTTTTTTGAACACTTTTTCATAACATTTAAATTTGATGAAAAAAGGGGTCTAGTCTTAGATGGACCCATTTCGGAAACATAAAAATGATAAATACCCTAATTCCAAGGAGTCAAGCTGAGAAGAGAAGGAGGTCATATAAGTTTGGTTTGAAAACTTAACAGGTTTCAAAAATGTGTTTAAACTTGATTTGTTATTTTTGGAGCTGATCCAAGCAAGTTCGAGCCGAGCTTAGAAAATTAAGCATTGCTTAAACTTGGTTAGTTGACTAGTCTATATAACGAGTAGATTTTTAACAAGTTTTTAACGAATTGAACACAAGTTAAACTTGAGCACCTTGATTGTTGTTAGTTATTTTAATTTAATTTGTACACGGAAGAATGCTAAATCTGACTCTCATCTACCAAATTTTTACTTTTACGATAATGACATTAACTATCTATATTCAATGGTTACCAAATTGTTTGTTGCTTAAGCCGATTGTTTTTAGTTTGTGAACCATTGAATACAGATAATTATGGTACCATATTCAAATTCCTCAGTGTTTATGAGGAACCAATTTGTTAAAATTGATAGAAGTATTCTCATTCTCTCCAATCAATTGTGCTTGAGACCAGTATTTGCCCCAGATGTATTCTTTTACTACCTTTGAAAGCATACCTTTAAATTTAATCATCATTGAGAAATGGAACCACTTTAATGGATTTATTATTTGAAAATAACTTGATTAATATGCTCCACAATTGAATATAAATAACTTCAATTTAGGAATTCCATTATTGTAATTAATAGATTGTTTGTTGCTTCGTCAGCACACCAATAATCTCATCTAGTGTGGGATTGTCAAAATTACATGAAATATGAACACAGATTTAATTATGAATCATTGTTATTATAAATGTTGTTATACTATGACCAACGTAGTGAAATCATTTGTAGTAAAAAATAATAGGAATCATCTTCGTGAGAAAAAATTACTAAATGTAGTGTTTATTAAACAGCGTTATGTACATTGTAATAAGATATATACAATATACCTCCATTTAAATGTGTACTATAGCAACATAAAAATAAAATAAAATAAATCGTATATATAAGATGATTTAAGTTATAGTCTCACTTATATTTTGCTATTCAACCGAAGACCCTATAGGCAATCATAAACAATATACTTGCATTGCCTAAAATCATATAAAACCCCAACCCTGACAATTTATAAAATGGGAAATGCTAAAAACACCCCCTCTTGTTAGTATTAAAAAATATGTACAAAACGTATTATAAAGAATGAATAAAAATATGTAAGTGTTTTAGAATATGTAAACTATATATTAAAAATAAATATTTTTGCACCACGTAATTCTTGGCAAGATCTTTTTAAAATAAAAATATTAAATAAATTTCATATAATTGGCAGAGATATCAAATTTGTATATGTCAATTTGTCACCTAATTTTGAAAATAAAATAATTTATGACAAACAACTTTTATAAGAATTCGTTTGAAATGTGAGTTGATTTTTTAATTTTTTGACTTTTTAACTATTTTAAGCTGGAATTAAAAAAATTCGTTTGGAATAGACTTTTGTAAAAGAAAAAATAAAATAATTATGATTTGAATATGATATTTTATCTTATTAAACTAAAAAACTTATTTTATCTTTTTTTAGCCAAAAAAACTTAACATGCCAGACAAAGGCTAAGAGAGCTTCCTTATACACCCATAACTTTATCTCCAGCCTCTCAACTTCCCATTACGACCTTAATGTTTCAAACCTTGACTCTACCCCTACCGCCACCTCCGGCAGCCACAACCACCACCTCTAACCACCAGCAACCCACAAGAGAGAGAGAGAGAGAGATAGAGAGAGAGAGAACCTCCAAATCTGAGGAAGATGAAGGCAGCCTCGTTGGGATGGTTCGCAGGGGAAGGGGGGAAGGCCTTGGTGGTGGTAAGGGGCTGTGGTCGTTCTCCGTGACGGGGGAAGGGTTCTCAGTGAAAGGGGTAGGGGCTTAGGGGGGGCATAGAGTAAAAGGGTGGCACCGCCACCAAAGATGGCATAATGGGTGGGTGGATGGTGGTGGGGGAGGGGATGGATGGGTAGAAAAATTTGGGTTTGCAAAATTTAGAGGTTCAAGGATTTTTATATAATTTCATGTAATAAAAAAATGTAAAATAAAGGGTACAAGGAAACAATTTGTTGTGTAAATATAAGCTCCCATTTTTTAAGGTTTGGGTGGATGCTCTAAAAAGCTCCCATTATAAACACAAGGCCCAGGTAAAGTATTACACAAAGGGAAAGCAGAGTAGATGCTCTGCTATAGGTCTTGAAGCAAAGTTTCTCAAAATACAACACACACCAAAGTGCTTATTACAACTACCCAGTCTCAAAAATATAAACATTTCCCTAAAAACTGGAGATAAGCACTCCCTCTCTTTTGTTTGATGAGTTTACAAGAAATATAAAAATGGCAAGAATCAGTGATGAAGACAAACTTACCCAAATCATTCTAGACGAAATTTAAATTTGAGCTTAATCTGTGAATCGATGTGTAACAACTTACTAATAGAGCTGATCTTCACATCGGCTACATATACAAATCAAGCCCTTGAGAATACAGATTTCTTATTAATAGTTTTTGAGTCTCTGCTTCATTTCCGCTTTCCTGTGCCAATAGTTAGCAGCTCAAAGCTCCGAAGAGGATCATCACGGCTGCCTCTTGTGACTGGAGCACGAATGAAAGATGATGATTTAGACTCGAAACCAGGTTGGATCCTCTGTGTTGTAGACAGGCGACCACTGCCCGAACCCAACCGGCTTGGTCGATTCTCACTGGCTTCACCAGATGAGCTTGGTCGGCTGCCTGATACGACAACCCTTCTTGAGCTACTTCCGTTTCGAGAAGTGCGACCTCTTTCAGAGTCAGGTTGCTGAAAGTAACACAAACAATCAATAATTAAACTATCAGGGATGAAAAATGAGCATTTCATGCGCTTACAATCATGAGCAGAAGCAATATAATACTAAGGTGCCATTTGATAATGTTTGCACTTAAAACTGTTTTTCATGCCCAGATAGATTGGTGTGGACTAGTACTACAAATGCGATCTTTTCGGTTAAGGCGGGTTATTGGTTGGCTATAAAACATCGACAGGCGGGAACTGCTAGTGCTAATACAGTGGATACTTTCGTTTGGAAAAACTTGTGAAACTTAAACTTGCCCTCTAAATTGAGCTTATTTTTGTGAAAATGTCTTCATAATATCCTTCCGGTAAAATGGCAGCTTCGCAAAAGAGGCGTTCCTATTGATACAATATGTGCTCGATGTGGCCAATCTGAGGAAACCAGAGAGCATGTTTTCTTTGAGTGCCAGTAGTCTCAACGAGTTTGGAGGGGCACAACTTTGGGTCTGAATTTCTCAATCGGTCAACCTGTTGGCTTTCACATTTGGCGGACGGAGTGGATAACTTCTGTTCAAGAGGATGAGATTATTCTCCATTCTGTGGCTATCCTTTGGGCAATTTGGCGACAGTGTAACCTTCGGGTTTTTCAAAATGAACAATTATCCATTGAACAAACATTACTTCTGGTTGATGATTTTAAGAAGCAATGGGCCAACAATTCCATAGATGTTACAAATGCTAGTCTGGACTATCAGCATGCACTGGCGAAGGATTCATCTTCTAACCACTGTTGTGTTCTTGCCAATACTTGTGTGGTTTCTAAGGATTTTCAGCTGTTTACTTGTGTGGTGGATGGGAGCATGGCAACAGGTCACAAGAGCAACAGGAATTGCATGGGTTTGTTTTGATGAATATCAACTGCAGGTATATCAACGAGGGATTTCAACTCGGCTGGCGTCTCCATTCCTAGCAGAAGCAAGAGCTCTTTTGGAAGCTATCAAGTGGGCGATTACGAGGAAAATTACATGCCTGTCCCTTTTTACTAATTGTAAAGTTTTAGTTGATAGCTGTGCACAAAAATATTGTTATGATTGGGAGGTAGATGTAGTGTTACAAGGTATTTTGATGTTAAGTTCTGCCTTCCACTTTTTATGTGTAACTAAAGTGCATAGAGTGTTGGTTGAACCAGCACATAAACTCGCAAGGTCTGTAATCTCCTTACCCTATGGTTAATATATATGGTACTTTACCTGGTGCTAAAAAAAAAACTGTTTTTCATTTAGAGAAAATATTAAACATGTTTATATTTACTTTTAATAAAACCAAAAAGAAACCAAAAAACATGTTTGGTATATACGTGTTTTAAGAACTTGTTTTGAAAAACAAGTGAGAGGTCGAGGCAGAAGGTGATTGTCGACAGTTGGAGATGGTGGCCGGAGGTGGTTGCCAGCCTATAGAAGTGGTGACCGAAGGTAGTCTCCAGCAAGAGGTGGCAACCTAAGGTGGAGGAAGGAATGAAAATTTCTTTCTAAACAAGTGAAACTAACTTTTTTTGTGGTTACAATAGTCAAGTAAATTTTGTAAATTGTTTACAAGTTTTTTAAAACAAAAATGGACACCAAACAAGTTTTTGTCTACAATTTTCAAAATTTTTAAATATACAAACAGGAAACTATAAATCTAAACATTACTAAAACATACTCTAAATAAATAAATGTTACCAGCACTACTCACCACATCCTTTGATGATGGTACATTCTCCGAAGACGATCTTTGTCGGTGCCTGGATTGTTCACCATGCAAAACTCCAACAGTACCATTCCTTCTAGCAAATGCCTCCACTGTACCTGAGAATCTATCTCGAGTCTCTTGCCTCACTAGAAGTGATACGCAATGGCAAAACATCAATAATTAAACTCCTAAATTTCTTTTCATTACAATGAAAAACAGACTGCAGAAATGTTTTCTTAAATTACAAGAGCAAATTCTAGTACTCAGATGCCCAATGACCTTAAATTACATCTGACAATCAGGTAACCAATTAACCCATACAAACAACAAGCGTTGTATTAGATCATTTGAAAATTTACTGAGAAAAGAAATATACCCGGAGTCCTTTCAGCAGATGGTCCTGGGTTCAAAGGCAATTTCCCAGCAGGCTGCTGAAAAAGCATGAGAACAACAAGGTAAGGGACATTTGATGAAGACAAGTATGAACAACTGCCAGAAAATATGAGAAGTACTAAGTTACTAACCCGTGCTCTAGAACTGGAACCAATCTGTGGATACTTCAAAATAGTCCAGTCAAATACGTAGTCAAACTGATAACCTGCACTAATTACATTGTCCAAAAAATACATAAGAAACTAAGACACCTCTCTTAATTGAAGCTGGTATCAGCTTCAGGGAGAATACTAAAGGTCACAGTTTATTATTATTATTATTATTTTTTTTTTGGGTTGCAAAAAAAGACTAATATATATTCAAGGATAGGAATTCAAAAGTAAACTTTACCTTCACGAATAAACAGGTCACGAAAAAGCCTCTTCAGGTATGAATAATCTGGTTTATCATCAAATCGCAATGATCGACAATAATGGAAGTATGATATGAATTCTGATGGATGGGATTTGCAAAGCACCTGCAAATAACATGTTAGAATTTCATTTAGATAACCTAATCTATGCAGTGCTAAAAAATTTACAATGAAGGAGGCCACAAGTTCTACAACATCAGACCCAAGACCCAATAACCCAGCAACTGTATTTGTCATGATCCTATATCATAGAGAGCATGTGATCATACCTCAATGGGAGTAAGCATCTTCTTTTCACTAATTTTGTCATACTTTTGCTTTTTAGTGCCAGCTTTCAAACCTTGCCAAGGAAGGCTAAGACAGAAATCATATGAACAAGTTAGAAACATAAAATGCTAAGAAAATAAATAGGTGAAGTAAAGAATTCCAACATATGTTCCACCTTCCCCGCAGAAAATACATAAGCACGTAACCAAGAGATTCCAGATCATCCCTTCTGCTTTGCTCTGCAAATAATAAAACAAAATTACAATTAGACAATTCATAGAAGTCCAAAAAATGTGAATATGTGACAATAACAGCTACACTCCATTTTTGGTCAATAGCTGCAACAAGTTAGCTTTACTCACCAACTCCAAGGTGAGTGTTAACGCTTGCATAACGAGCTGTGCCTGTGAGATTTTTGTTTTCTCTGTAAGAAAAGATTTGATAAGCATTCATGATAAACTTACAAAGGCAGAAGACTGACAAAAGAAGAAAAAGTTCACAGTTATTATCATGTAAACAAGTCCATCAAAGGGCCAACACAACATACATAAAAAAATGGTAAAACATCAAGACGCCAAGTAGGTATAAAAATATTTACAATACATGATTTTGGTCAAGCTATCGTATATCCTGACATCAACTAACAAACTCAACAACCTGGAACCACAAGTACTAAGCCATCTTATCATTTCTTTTCATATGCAGTGCTAAGAAATCTTAATATTTCACATGATCATAAGTTGAACAGTGAAGAATAGTAACCACACACACATTATCTCTCACAAAGTGTACCTCCATGGCAAGTACTGGAGTAATTTGAAATTGTTGCTTAATGAGTCTCAACTCTCGGTAGTAACAGATGACAACGAAAAATACATAAATAATTTTATTATTGATTACATGTTACTGTCAAGTAAAGAGAGAGAATGTCATGTGATTTTCTAGGACATGACTTGAGAACTTGGCTAGGTGTCAAGGTGCGCCCATCCAAGGGTCAACACCTTGATGCCACACTCATTTGTGCCCTTTGGAGAGCCAAAAACATGCCCAAGAAGTTGTTGGTGCAGGTGCAAGCCAAGGCCCAAGGCATGGTGCAAGACAACCCAAGGCATGCCATGAAGCAGCCCAGTCACAGCAGGCCACAGCATTGCCTGCCCAGCAGCAACTTTAGGCTAACTTTTGGAGGATCAAATGTAATCTTTTTGCCTTGTAAATTTTTATGTAAATACCTTAGTATTAAAGGTGTTTTGCGTCCAAGTATTGTAATTTCTCTTTTTGTAGAATTTTTAAAAATCCATTACGACTCCTCAAACATAGTGGATGTTTCCTCTTGCCAACTAGGATATGGCTTAACAAGCTATATTAAGGAGGGCGTACCCAAGTGTTGAACCAAACCACTTGTGCCTTTAAAGTACCCCAACCTAGCCAATGTTAAGGCAACTTTTGTAGCACTTTTGATGCATTGTTCAACTATTGTAATGCCTTCTTTTGATCAATGAAAAGTTTATTTCGCCTTTAAATTGTTCAAAACTTTTCTAGTGTTGCTTGCTTTAATTTTAACTTGTTGCTTGCTATCTTGTGGCTTGTCTCCAAACTTATTGGCTCGTCAACTAATTAGTATTGTGTTTGCTTGTTTTTGCAAACCTTTTGAGCATTATTGGCGGGCTAGTAAAGAGAGTTAACTAGCGCCACACACACTTGCATATCTATTGGCAAGGCTTCCGCACAGCCCTTATGTGACAATAGGGCAAGGTAGTTAATTAGAAGAAGAAGAAAAAAAATTATAATTACTCAACATAAGTTATATTAGTTTAGATTGAACACGAGTTGGAAGTTTAACAATTTTTCGTGTTATTTGCTTAATCGGGGACATTATATGATGGAAGGATTGATTGCATTGGTAACTATTAATAGAAGGATTCACTTGTTTATTCATATTATAACCCTATTTGATAGAGCTGTGGGAAAATGATTATATATTGTGAGTGTTTGGTAGAACTTTTTTTAACTTAAATCAGCTTTTGGCTTAAATTAAGCTATATTGATGTGTTTGGTACAACTTATGAGTATAGATTATGGCTTAAGTTAAGCCAAATTTCGGCTTAAATGGAAAGTTGCTATTGGGGTGCTTATTTTTACAACTTATGCGCGCAGCTGTTTTGGAAGGGGCAAAATGATTTAAATGCCCCTCCTAATCTCCATTATTTACGAAAATGCCATTATATATACCCATCTGAAAACAATGTTCACTCTCTCGCTCTCGATGAAGGCGATTTCCGGCGTGTCGAGGTAATTTCCATCATTGCGATCTCAAGGCATCCGACACTCATTTTCTCCCTCAACACAGCACAACATCCATCGTCGCGACCTCTCCTCTCTCTCTCTCTCTCTCTCTCTCTCTCACTCACGCGCGCAATCGAGTGGAAACCCTAGCGTCGTCGTCATCTCAATCTTCCCCGTCACGATCTACTCTCGCGCGATCTGCTCTAGAAGCTCTCGAAACCAGAGGAAACCCTAGAAGCTCTCTCTCTCTCTCTCTCTCGCGCGCGCGCGATCTGCTCTCGATCTCGTCTCTCTCTTTCTCTATTGCAGACCACCCGGCTAGGGTTGATCTCGGCTAGGGTTGCAGACCACCACTGGCAGCTCAGGAAGGAAGAGAAGGGAAAAAAATTAAATAAATTACACAAAAATAATAATTAAAAACAAAATAATAAAAATAATATTGAACAAAATAAATTGAAATAAAAATAAAAAAATAAATTAATCAAAATAATAATAAAAATAATTTATTAATATTGAAATAAATTGTGCAATTTATATCCATTAAATAAATTACACAATTTAATTGTAATGAAAAAGAATAATAAATTAAAAAATATAACATTATCCAATTTATACACACAACATATAATTTGATTCGTTTGAATGTACTATACTTTTGTAATGAATTAATTATTAATTGATACTAATTAATAACAATTGTTGATTATTAATATTATTTGATACTAATAAAAATTAATTATTAATATTAATTGATACTAATTAATAATTATAGTATTAATTAATAATTATAGTATTAATTGATACTGATTAAGAAATTAATTGATACTAATTAATTTATAATGGAAAAAAATTATTACAATAATACTACTATTACATTTTTATCAAGTGTATCAATTTTTTTATATTAGTTGATACTAATTAATTACAATAATACTAATGAAATAATTTTTTTAAATTAAAATTAAAATTGAAAAAAAAAATGACAAAATTATCATTTTTATATCATATAAGGGCAAAAAAGTCAATTATACAGAAAAAGCTATTTTACAGCTTATTTACCAAACACTATTCTGCAACTTAAATCTATAATCCCACAGCTACACCAAACAGGTTATCAGCTTATGCTCACAGCTGTAAGCTATAATCTGTTAAGCTATAATCTGTAATCACTTTCCCACAGCTCTACCAAACGGGGCCATTATAGCTTAATAGATTATACCTTAATAGATTATAACTTATAACTGTGAACATAAGCTGTTAACCTATTTGGTGCAGCTGCGGGATTATGAATTTAAGCAACAGAATAGTGTTTGGTTGATAAGCTGTAAAATAATTTTTTACTGTAAGCTATAATCTGTTAAGCTATAATCTGTAATCACTTTCCCACAGCTCTACCAAACGGGGCCATTATAGCTTAATAGATTATACCTTAATAGATTATAACTTATAACTGTGAACATAAGCTGTTAACCTATTTGGTGCAGCTGCGAGATTATGAATTTAAGCAACAGAATAGTGTTTGGTTGATAAGTTATAAAATAATTTTTTATTGTATAATTGTCCTTTTTGCCCTTATATGATATAAAAATGATAATTTTGTCATTTTTTTTTCAGTTTTAATTTTAAAAAATTATTAAAACTAATAAAAGTTAATATAATTAGTATCAACTAATATAAAAATTGATACATTTGATAAAAATGTAATGGAAGTATTACTGTAACAATTTTTTTCATTATAAATTAATTAGTATCAATTAATTGCTTAATTAATCTCAATTAATACTAAAATTATTAATTAGTATCAATTAATATTAATAATCAACACATGTTATTAATTAGTATCAATTAATAATTAATTTATTACAAAAATATACAATATTAATTTATTAATAATTAATACCAATTAATATTGATTTTTTAATTAATATTAATTTTTTTCTTTTTCTTCAATTTTTTTTCTAGGGTTTCAACGCCGCCGACAAACAACCAGTGGCTAGGGTTTCAACACAGATCAACGCAAATCGCGATCGCGACAAACAACGCAAATCAAGCGAGAGGGATTGCAATAGTTAGGGTTTCAGATCGTAATCGCGATCGCAGAAAGAGAGAGAGAGCACGGGTCGATCACGATGGCAGTGTTAACTACAGCCAGTGTTTCAGATTGCAACGCCGGAAAACAACGCAGCCGGAGAGAGAGAGAGATGGTAGTGGTTAGGTTTCAGATTGCGATCGCGGTGGCGGTGGTGATGGGGCGTTTTGACGGAGCAAATCGTGAGAGAGACAGCGAGCGAGAGAGAGAAAAGAGAGATCGTGAAGAGAGAGAGAGAGAAGAGATAGCGGTTCGCCGGAAATCGTTTGCCGAAAATCGCCTCAACACACCGAAAATCACCTTTCTCTCTCTCTCTCTCTCTCCAGTGAGCAAATGAACAGTGTTTTGAGAAAGGAGTTTATATACTTAGGTTTTCCGTAACAATTGAAATTGACGAGGGGCATTTACGTAAATTTGCCCCTCAATTTTCAGCTTCCCGTTTAAGCTAAATGGAAAAGCAACTCCTCCCCAACTCAAAGAAAAAGCTGAAAATCAGCTTATAAAAAGCTATAATCTACACCATTAAGCTATACCAAACACACAAAAATAACTTATTTTAAGCTATAAGTCAACTTAAGCTGAAAATAAGTGGTGCCAAACAAGCACTATGTAGGGTAGTCATAAAAGGTCACACACAATAGGAGCAATATGTAATATGAATGAATTAAAAGAGTTAAACCTTATTAAGTGTTTATAAAATTACTTTAATTAATTGTTAATTAAGAATCTTATTGCAATTAATGATTAATTGTGATAAAAACTATTTCTTGTATGACAAGGTAACAAATCCTTAGGAACAAGATTACCAAGTTCTACAAATAAGGGTCCTAACTCCAAAATACTTCTGAAGTTTGAGGGTACCTTCATGCTCAAGATTTGCTTCATGTGGATACTTTTGACACCAGACAATTGAACTGTTTTGGATTTAAAGTGAACTCGAAGGAACAATGCTAAATGGAATTTGCATTTAAGGTATTTATCCTATCTATCTCTATGGGTGGTTGACCTAAAGCTCTGTATACATCAAAAACATGAGCATGAGCACGGGTAGGAATCAAAAAAAAATTGTAAATTCTGCTGTGTATAAGATTCCTTTAAGAGGAATGGTTCTCTTCAGAAATGATTCTGTTAAGGACTATGTTCACCCCCTATGTTTAACACAAGCTTCCTCTTCAAGACAATATTTTACACATGTTGGGCTCTGCCTTTCCTTTTGGTGGCATTTCTTTTCCTTGTAAAAAAATAATTACCATGCCTTCTTGACAACAAATTAAAACATTTTCGTAGACTAAGGTACAGCAGCACCTCAAGTCAGCAATAACAAGATGGATAGCTAAGTAGCAACAAGCCAATAACTCTATTCTCATACCCCTTAAATTCACGTGTCTGTCAAAATGAATGCTTTAAAAATTCAAACAAGCATGCCAATGGGACACAACCAGTGACCACAAATAATTCTGTGATAAATTGACAATTAGTGCGAGTAAAACACCTACCAATTCCCTTTTATGTCTCTCCGCAAAAACAACACAATAGAAAGCACAGAGGATACTCTTAAGTACCACTTATTGCGAAATAATTGTACCAACATCATAACATAATTTGAAAGCCCACGAATACATACTTATCCGAAAAAAAGACATTTCACTTATATAAGAATTTCCCTCAACTTCCCTTTACTCCCCGGTCTAAAATATAACAATGAACAGCAAAATCCTAGACCAAGCTTGGATATGAAGCAAAGTTACATCGCAAAATTGGAGTTGAGTAGCTGATAGTAAGATCATCAAAGTGAACAGAAATTATTTCGTATTCTTCACAAATATGGAAGATCATCAATTACCTGTATGGTATGTGTTTGTGTGTTTGAAGATCTCTATACTTTTTTGCAAGGCCATAGTCAATGACGTATACCTGCAGTTTAACAATGAGCAACAGCAAAACCAAAAAAATAAATAAACAAAACAAAAAATAAGGTTTTAAGAAAAAAACATAAAATCCAAATATACACAATAGAAGGCCTCCTCAAATAACACTCTGATCAACAATGAAACTATGTATAAATCAGATTGTAGAAGCTGATTCCTACAATTTCCAGCAAACATAACTCAAATCCACAAGTTATGAACCCTTTTATATAGGGCCTATTTAGTGCAATTTATTGTAAGTTAAAAGTTGACAATTAAAAACAAAAGCCAAAAGCACCCCACCTCAACATCTAGATAATTTGGTTAATTAATATATTTTTGCCTAATAAGCCGTAAGAAGAAACTACACCAGTCTTACAGAAACTCCCCGAATACAAAAAAAAAAATGTAAGCAACTTAGATAAGTTGAACCAAACAACCCATAGACCAAATAAGATCATAATATACAAGTACTTAATTCAAAGAAAGCTACAAGTGGGTGACTAGTGGTTTATATACAACCACCTCAATGACAAATAGGTGACAAGCTACTTACAAACAACGACCTCAATAGTAAGTGGTTTACAAGTAACAACCTCAGCAGGTGGTTTACAATATCTATACCGACAAAACTCCTAAATTATATCATAGATCATCCAATTCCTTCAACTCTTTTCTTAAAAGCTTGATGGTGTGATTCTTTTGTTCTCCAAAGCTGGTCTATTCCACTTTGCAAAAAAGGGTAAGAAAAAATTAAAAGAAGCTGGATTTTCCTTTAATTAATTTAAGTTGTATGATTAGTACCATTAGGTATCACTACTAGATTTAGGCCATCGTGTATTTTTTGTTTGCAAACTTCCTTTACCATAAGGTAATCTATTTAGGAATTGACTACATGTAAACCACCTGTTATTGAGATGGTTATTTGTAACCATTTAATCACCACTCATCATTAAAACAACTACATATAAGCAACTTTTCTCTTGCTTGTTATACTAAGTAAGTGGTATTATGTAAGGCACTTGTTATTTATCAAAAAATAAAAAATTACGTATGGCACTTGTTGTATTTGGAACTTACTTTTTATTTCACCATGTGGTAAGTTAGCTTAGCTAGACTATATGTAGGTTGTACTCTCTTTAAGGTGGTCATCAAATTTTACATTTGGTGATTTCTTGTATTCTTATTTCCTTTTTGGAAATTAGTTTGAACCCTAGATTATGGATTTAAAGCGTCGTTTGCCAAAAATTATCCTTGTAAATATTTTTGCCTTGCTCCATGTTCTATTTGAGTCTTAGTAGTCGAAATGTCCAATTTATTAAATCACTAAAATAAAAGGAATCACACTCCTTATATAAGGACTTGCAAAGTTCCAGACTAGGCATATGACATCTCACCATACAAAAGCCTTTGTAATTCTTCAATTAATTCATCCATCAAAAAGTAAGTTACAGTATCTATGAACCATGGAATTAGAAATCTAAACATATCAAAATATTTCGTATGATATAACCGTGAATTCCAAGGATGTGATAAGATATTCCATTGAGGTTGCAACATCGCAAAACATCATAGATATATCATGATATCACACAATATGTTGCAATGAATAACATCCCAACATAATCATAAAATATTGCATTGTGGAAATATCATGATAAAATAAACAAAATATTTAAGACCATGTCAAAATGTATCCCCAAAAATAGTGCTAAGTCAATGGTTAAGTTTTTCAATTGGAGGGGGGTAGAAAGTTTAGAGAAAGCATAAAAGAATATAAATTATAAACTAAAAATAAATAAATGTAGATAAGGCCATAGGGTTGTTATCTAAAAAATATACTAATGAAAATGTTAATGTTTAGCATTGTCCTGCAACGAAGGCCATTCCGATTCTGAAACGGACTAAGTCTGTGGGTTTACCGGAGAGGCGAAGAGATTTGTTGTTAGGAGGTTTTGGGGAAAGTGGTTCAGTTATTCATGAACGCAGAGGTCGTCTAAATTTGTCTGAGATTGATGTACGCAGAGATGGTGACGACACTAGTGATGTTGATCTTGGTGTTAGCAAAGAAGAAGTAGATCGTGGAGGATCAGTTGTTATGAATCCCGCAGAATTTTCTAATGTTTTAGGAAATGCAATCATTAGTGTAAAAAATAGTGATGTGACTCAAGATGTAATAGTTGATGATAAGGAAAATGTAGTAAGTAAATTGGACTTTGAGTGGTTTCATAAATAAAATTAATAAAATTTTTCATTACTCATGACAGTGATTACATTAACATCAAACCATTCTCTCATTTTTGGAGACATTGCATCTAACCAATTATTGTCCCCATTAGTTAATATAATACAAGAAATTCCTCCTCTAATAGTGAGATCTGGTTAGAATTTAACAAATACATGGAAGTCTCTCTGACAACCTACTAAATTTTTCATTAATTCGGTAAGGACTGTCGAGTATTTGATATCATTGATAACGTTGTAGATGGCGTCTTGATCGTAGTCCTTGAAACTTATTCTGCCGGAGAAGTAATTATGTCGTCCGAGACTTATTGACAATGAATTACCAATATTTACTTTTTGCATAATGCACAAGGATGGACAAAGTAACTCATAAAACTCTTTAACATGAAGATATTCAGCCACCTAAAATTCCATCTTATGTACCTAGCATATACTCCATCTTATTTTTTGTATTTTTGGATCATAAATGTGAGAGTTTAAGAGTGTTATATATGGTAAAAAGAGATGCAAAAATATATAACTCTGCAGCAATGAGATAGAGAATAACCAAAGTCCATTACTATGATGAACCAAGTCACAACTTCTAATTCCACCCTCTAGCATTTTAAATGGAAGTTAAGAGGAAATTTTTTCAGAATTATTATTTCATCACACTGCATTGCATTATAAAACCTTAGACGTCAAATACAAAAAGCATATACATTCCATTTACAACCTTCACACATTTAAACTTACAATTATGACGTGTGTGCACAAGTAATGTTTGTCTTCGATTCTAATATGAAAGATGCATGCGCATGTGTAATATTTATCTTTAACTCAAATATAAAAAAACATAAATGCAGCTAGGCATATTTTAAGAATTTGAAGTCTCAAACCCTTAAAATATGATCTTCACACCACGCAATCGCACAGTATTTTCATTATAAATGTCAACTATCAGGCAGAAGTCTAACAGAAAATATTATAGCAAAACTAGAAATGAATGAAAGCATCCACTTATGGCAGTGTCTGTATGCACACAACACCAACATTAATAGATATACAAAAACACTCTATAGAGGAACATACCTGATTTGCTTTGCGCCCTAAACCCATTAGAAAGTTGTCGGGCTTTATGTCACGATGAAGAAAACCTCTAGAGTGCATATATTCAACTCTATTAATCTACATAAAACATTTACAAAAGTAAAAAAAGCATAAGTAGAACAGCTACAATCACCTGGAAAATATTTCACGAATGCACTAGCATACTTACTAACTGATCCGCAAGCATTAAAACTGTTTTTAAAGTGAATTTCCGATTACAATAATTGAACAAGTCTTCTAGGCTTGGTCCAAGAAGGTCAATAACCATTGCGTTGTATTCGCCTTCAACTCCAAACCATTTGAGGTGAGGAATACCAGCTTCACCCAATAAATAAGAAATAAATTGGCACAATTATTTTGGCTCAACACTAAGATATCACGTGCAATTGCAAAAGAGGAAAAAACCAAGAGAGAAATCTCACTTCCACCCTGAAGAAGCATGTATAATTTTGATTCATAGTGAAGCTGAGGGTGTTTAGTCTTTACTGATTCCTGAAATAAAAATAATAATAACGTCAGGTTATAATAGTGAAAAGACTTTCCTTTTTAGCCATAAAATGCAAGTACAAATCAACAAACCGTAGAACAAATATTTAGGCAAGAAAATAAAAATTCAACTTCTGCATAATAAGGTCAGGTTATAAGTGAAACGACTTTCTTTTTTCAGCCATAAAATGTAAGTACAAATTAACAACCTGTAGAACAAATATTTAAACAAGATAAAAAAAAAAATTAACATCCGGAATTCTTCTTTAAAAAAATAAAAAGTCACTTAGGTCTCGTTTGGCAAGTAGCTGTTTTAACCTAAAAGTCAAAAAATTACTAAAAAAACCAAAAAGCCTATAATATAACCTATACCAAAAAGTCAAAGATACTATTTTCTCTCTACTTTTTGCACATCTTTTCGTACAAATCCAAAAAGTCACCTCAAACATACTAGTTTTTTTTATCTCATATTTTAGTCAAAAGGCCAAAAAATTACTAAAATAGTCTGTTCCCAAACGAGGCCTTACTATTTCGACCAAACAGCCCTAAGCAAGGGCTGCAATTACAACTGCACTCAATGCCAAGCAATAAGTGAGTCTTACCATGGATACCCAATTACTTCCAATAAGGAGATAAGACAAATTGATATTAGTCCATATTAGCATTTCATTTTAATGTAAACATTGACAAATAAACTAGAAAAAACAGCTCAACTCATATGTCCATATCTAAACTATATCCATAAGTCTCTTTTCACTAGTTTGCTACCCATTAGTTAAGTACAAAACATATAAACTATTCTTGAAAGCCATTTTCCAGTTACTTGGAAAGACTTCAGGTTGCTCGGAATGAACTCCTGACATCACGGTCTGATTCCGAACCTCCTCCAAACTAGAGAAAAGGTCAAAATCTTCCTTCCAAACTTTAACGGTACTAAAACAAGCTAAAATAGAGCATCTGTAAGAATTTTTTTTTCCTGGTACTCAAACAAGCAGTCGAGGCCAAGGCAGGATACCTATCTATAATAACATATGTGAACAACTGAAAATCAAGTGAACTGGCATAAACACACAAGCAAATTGCTTCACAAAATCATTAATAATAATAAAAAAAAAAATCATCAACCACATATCTACCAACTACTACATATATTAAAGAACCATTGATTGATGAAAGATTTAATAGCCTTGTCTAATGTTGATTAAAGTTCAATCGTCACAACATCACTACCAAATTTCTAAAACATTTAGCATAGCTACTAAGGGGTTGTTTGGAATATCATAAATAAATGTACTTTTTATCTTTTTAGACTAAAAAATTGAGAAAAAAAAATATAGGTTTTTGAATTAACTTTTTGACTTTTTATGAAAAAATATGTATTAAAAAATTATATAAATTAGTGTGGAGGGAAAATTAAAATTGAGAGCTATGCGGCCGTAATTTTTGACTTTTGGTGAATATTGATAATTTTTTAGAGTAACTTTTTATTTTTTTTTCAAATTGCCAAACTTGGCCTAAATATAAAGCATCCAACACCACAATCAAGTTGTCCCCATATGAAAACAAGTACATACCATCTTCACAGCTACTTCCTCTCCAGTTTGTACATTTACTCCTGAAACAAATTAAAAAACCATGAATATAACATCATCATAACTAAGAAAAGTTTGGGGAAAATAATTGAATGCCATTTGAGAACACAAATCACATATACCCAAATACAGCTCGCCGAATGATCCGCTCCCAATCTTCCGCCCAAGCTTGAACTTTCCACCAATCACATGATCCATGATTTGATCCCCAATTCAAATCACCCCCTTTTAAGAACCCAATAATCCAACCTCTTTCTAGTTTTCAACTTCAATCCAATTCACCATCCAAAACCACACAATACCCAAGCTTTTCCTCAATCAGTTGCCCAACACTAAAATCTCCAGATAACTCTCAGATCCATCAAAACCACCATTCAAAAAAATCCAAATGTTTGTTTCCAGTCCCCAAATTATAAATCAACAATTACATCCAAACAAAAAAAACCCAAAATATTATACGTTTAGTCTATCAACGTGTCATGTATCTTCTGCCTTCTACAATCTTGACCAACCAAGCAAAATTAACAATAAATCAATGAATCGAAAAAGAAAACCCTAGAATCTACATCATTGGGAGAGTGGAAACCCTAAATCTGCAACTAATTGTTGCGAATCGAAACCCTAGTTTCTTGATACATTAGTCAAAAAAGTAGTTGAGAAAAAAAAGATGCAATGAATATACAGATAGAGAGAAGATGTGGAGAAAATGAAATGCTGGGAATTTGAAGTGAGGAAAAAAGAATCAAAGAAAACAAAAATTCACGAAGAAATTTGGGTTCAGAGCGATCTGTGTAAGAGACACAGAGACGAGTTTTAGAGGAAACTTTGCTCAAAAGCACCTTAGGAAAGGAACAAAAGTGGGATCGCAGAGAGAGAGGGAGAGAGAGAGAGCGGAGAAGGAAAAAGTGTAGGGGAAAACAATGAAAGGATAAGGGTATACCCGTTTCGTTTGATCAATTTTCCACTTGAATTTTTTATATTATCAATTTATTCTTTTAAGGTCTGATTTGTTTTTAGGTTTTGTTATCAATTGTGGGGGTGTGGGGTTGAGGTAGTGGTTTACCACTATTTTGAAATAGGATTGAGAATTATCTGATTAATTCTACAGTTATACTATGTTATTAGATCTTCAAGCTGTTGTATGGTTATTTTTAAGGCTTTTTGTTTTTCAGTTAGTTGTCTATTTATTTGAGAAATTTTTAAACTGTAATTTTCTAGGGATCTGCCAGATGCTAATGATAAAAGAAACTGATATCTAAATATCTGATCTTCTAGTTCTTGTATTAGCTCGGTACTAATTTTAATTTTATTCCTAAGGTCTTCGTCTAAGGGCATATACTTTCCTGATTTTTTGAAATTTAATTTCTAAAGTCTACGTCTTAAGGGCATACAACTTTTTGGTTTTTTTGGGTTGGAAAATTTACAACGCAGAGTGAAGTGGTGTTTTTTCATTCTGCTTCTTTCGTTGGCATGCAAGCCAATTTATACAACTCAAAAGACTAATCTATGTCCTATGACTACCTAGACTAATCTATGACTACCTAGACTCTAGGCTTTTTAGGCCTTTTGAAAACTTATGTCATCTTTGAAAACTTTGCCATTTTTGACGGAAGATTGAAATGGCATGCATATAAAGACAAGACCCATATATATACAATTATATGCTTGACTCAAATCATGATATAGATAGATTTTATCAATAAAGGATTTGGATAATGATATCGGGTACTACTTTGGGCCCCATCGCATATCATTCAATCCTTCCTTTTTGACAAAATTTTGACACTATAATTTATTATAAGACACGTATAAAGATTTTCACAGCTTTTCTTTAATAAAGTAGGATAAGAGATATCTACTTTATTAAAGTAGTGATTGAAGGAAAATCTTTATTACTGACAGACTCACAAAATATCTACAAAAAACAAAATATCTGCAAAAATCTTTTTTGTCTTTTCTTGGCGTGCATCTGAGGAGAATCTCTATCTTCTATGGATTTTGTCTTCTTTTGACGGTGAGCCAATTATTGATGCTGACTCATGAAGTGATGCTTGCAAGATTGAAAGAGTCACGTAGAAATATTACAAGATTAATGGAGTCTTGTAGTGGGACCCCCTGTTTTTTTTTTTTTTTTTTTTTTTTTTGGTGGACATGAAGTTGAAATTGGACTAATAATTTAATAAAATTATTAATTTGATATTTGATTAAACAATTGAAGTACGGATTAATTATTTTAAACTTGACTATTAGTTAAGATATGATACATAATCCAACGGATTTGTAATCCTAAGACTATTAGTCATGGAAATGCTAATTCAGTCCGCCCAAACAAACATGGTCAGAGTGTATTAATAGTAAGGAATTATTAATGTGGAGATTAAGTAAAATTATATTTATTTTAATAATAATTGTTAGTTAGGACTGAGGAAGGAATCCGTAAAATCCGTAATTTGATCCAGTCTAGTCAAATCAAGTAGGTTTGGATTAGTTTTTTGAATCCGTGGTTCGGTTTCGGATTAAAAAATTAAAAAATTCGTAATTCACGGATTGGTTCCGGATTGAACCCCACGGTTCTGGATTGGAACCGATCCGGACCGTATACAAATAGTCTATATTTTTATTATACACCCTCCTGCATAGTATCTTCTCTTATTTTATATAAAATTTAAATCCAAACCTAAACTCGCATAGTATCTCTTTTTATTACTTTTGTTTACTAGTTTTTAATGTTAATTTGCAATAGTCTAAATACTTATGGTGGAACCAGTTTTCTTATGATTTTTTAAATTCTAGAACAGTATATCGCTATTATTAAAGACATCTTATTGTGAAACTAATATGGTGCTATATTTATATTTATATTTATATGAAATTAAAGTGTTAAATATATTTTTTTTGTTATTTAATTATATAAATCCGTGGTCCTAAACCGATCCAATCCGTATTTAAATGGATTGGTTCGGATTGGTTCCACGATTTAAACGGATTGGATTAGTTCCAATTTTTCAGGAACCGTATATAACGAATTGGTCCTGGTTTTACCCCAATCCGGACCATGCTCACCCCTATTGTTAATATTGGAATGTTAAATTATTTTTATATAAAAGAAATTTAAAATAATAAAATAAATAAAATTATGATTTTTATTTAATAAAAAATACAAAAATATTAAACATTAATGTTCAAAAAAATGTCCAACATGTATGTAAAAAAAAATAAAAAATAAAAAAACTAAGCCGAAAGACTAATTTTCTAATACCAAGTCTTTGGTTTTCATCTCAAGCCCAACATCCAAGGCTCATCCTAATCTGAAGGACTTTATTAGTGAGTCCCACATCTATCTCAATTGCATTCCTTCCTCCATCTCCCAAAACAAACGAACCCTTAATCTATTGAAATCGTGATCAATTTAAGGGTTTGCGATAGAATAGACAAGATTGATAGTGAGGAGATTAAATAAAATTGTGTTTGTTTTGATGATCGTTGTTAGTGTGAAAATTGTTAAATTATTTTTATATAAAATAATAAATAAAATTATGATTTTTTACTTAACAAAAAATATAAAAATATTAAACATTAATATCCAAAAAAATGTCCAACATGTAAAAAAAATATAAAAAAAACTAAGCCGAATGACTAATTTTTTAATACCAAGTCTTTGGCCTCTATCTCAATCCCAACATCCAAGGCCCATCCTAATCTGAAGGACTTTATGAATCTCCCTCCACCTCCCAAATCAAACACATTATTAGTGAGTCCCACATCTATCTCAATTGCATTCCTTCCTCCATCTCCCAAAACAAACGAACCCTTAATCTATTGAAATTGTGATCAATTTGTTTTTTATCATCATATAAATGAAAAAAATATATATTTTTTGAGCTTAAATTTCAAATTATAAATTCATACTCACTATCTTTTATCCAAACTCACTCTCTTTCCTCTCTACAGCTCTACAACCCCACTAGCCACTATCGCCTGTGACTAGCCCTCCTTCTTCTGCCTCCAATCACCTCTTTCCTGCTGCCCCATTCCCTTCCAATCATGAAATGAAAAATACCACTAACAACAAAGTGCATTTAACTACTACTATTGAGGGTATTTCTTTCGATCAATCATGAAAACAAAACTCACAGCACTACTTCACAATTGGTTTCTAGAAGGGAAAAGAAAAAAAATGCAAACAAATAGGGAAAGTTCAATTTTGAATTCCAAATTTCCACTCAACTGGTCTAATCTAACTCTACTACTTCACTCAATTCAGTAGAAAGATCCAAAATTTTCCTCATTTTCTCTCCATTTTCACAACAACCAAACAGAGCTTACCCACATAGTGATAGATAGAGAAAGAGTGAGAAGAACGGACTGTGTTTGAAACTTTGATTCGGGGGTGCTCAAATGCAACCAAAGAAGCCAATATTTTTTAGACAAGAAAACATGTGATGTGGTTGTAGAAACTACAACATTGAAATTGGAAACAACCCAAGTGAAATCAAAATAATCAGAGCGAAACCCAGAAAACATTTCAAACAAAAAAGTCATCTGAATCATACATTAAGACCAAACAGATCAAAAAAAGCGAGATGGGTGAGAACTGGATGGAGTTTAGTTTAGGGAAGCTAAGGTTTTAGGGATTAGATAGATAGAGAACAAGAAAAACTAACCAGAGCTACCATTCTCTCTTGCTTTCTCTCTCTATATCCATTGGTGAAATACAAGGTGAAGCTCTCAATCAATTTTTTCTTCGTACAACAATATCTCCAGAGTAATTCATACATATACACATGTATGTATATGTATATATTGATATGTATCATTAGGGGTTTCTCTCTTGCTTTCTCTCTCTATATTCATTACGCTGTGCTTGATTAAGGGATTTGAGAAGGGATTTGAAAAGGAAAAGGGACAAGATGTATGAAATTAAGTGAAATACAAGCATATTTTATTCATATTTCACTTACCTTTTCTCCACATTTTACCTACATTTTCTATTTCCCTTTCTAAATCTCTTCCCAAATTCTTCAACCAAATACAACGTTAGTGAAATACAACTCTCTCTACACAACAATATCTCCCAGGTAATCCATACAATAATAAATGTATATGTATATGTATATGTATATATTAATATGTCTAATTATGAATGTTGTTGTTGCATTAGTATTGTATAAATGCTGATTTTCATTCCCAGACCTTATTATCCTACAAATCTTCCTGTTAATTTGTTGGGTTTTTCAGTTCTATGTGTTTCCTTCTCTTATAGATTCTATAATTCTAACTCCCGTCACCCAACCTCGTAGAGGTTTACAGCAACAAGCTATTTGAAACTACTCCTAGGAATGAAGTGCAGTACAGGAATTGAAGTGCAGAAATGTAAAGAACTGTAAAAAACTGGAAGGAAATACGAAATAAATAAACTAGTTTTTTTTATCTGAGTCTCGAAGCTTCATTTTGGGGCCTTCTCTGCTATTTATACTTCTCAATGATAACCGTCGAAATGGGCTTCTAACCGTCGAAATGTCCACCCATGATTACTGAACATGCTCTCTCACAGTCAGTCCCATTACGCCACCTTTTCAGTTAGACTTTCCTCCTGATTTTGAATTTGAACTTTGTAAGTAACCGTTAGGCCATATCACCTTATATCCCTTGATCGTTCCAGTGCTACGCAGATCCATTATTATCAATACAGGCGGACACGTGTTTGACTTTGGTTGGCAACTTATATTAACTCCCTAAATTGCCTTCTTCATACCACGTATTGAATTGTGATTGGCTTTTATAAATTATACAACCAATATTACCCCCCGCACTAATATACCCAATACTTGGTGATATTAGTGGATCAAGGCACTTTACCCATGTCCTAGGATGTGCATGTGCTTTGCATCTTCTCAGAAATGCAACCGACGTCCATCATTGCAATGTTTGTAC